TACACATGATTTAACCTCATACTATGTCCTAACGGGTTAGACACTAGTATAGGTTGTTCTAAGTTTTCTTTCATTATGTCAGCCTTGTCAGGCATAGGCACGCAGATATAAGATAACGTTGATCCAGGGTCTATCAACACATGCATGACAGAATCAAATAAGGAAAACATACCCTGAATGACGTCAGGGTTTTCCTCAGTTCGTGCCTTCATTGCATAAGTACGAGCAGGAGCTCGTCCCTGTTGCTGACTCTGGTTCTTGGCCGGATTAGATCCTGCCGTTGATCGTTGACTTGGCGCAAGTCGTGCTGATGCTGATTGACTTACAACTGGGCCTGACGGAAATGGTTTGCCAGGAATACTGGGGCAATCCCTTCGAAAATGTCCAGGTTTGCCGCAACCTAGACATAATCCTTGGGCAAGCCAACACTCGCCTGGATGATGTCTCCCACATGTATCGCACAATGGGTGTTTCCACCCTCTTGATTTGTTTTCTGACGCCACAGAGTGCGTCTGCACCGATTTCCCCTTCTTTGAGAAGTGTGAATTGCTAGATTCCTGGAAGGGCCTTTTTCCTTTTGAGACAGAGCTGATGGGACGGTGAGTGCTTGAACTGACATTATTTGTCTTCAGATACTCAATGCAAGCACTCAAGTCGTTGTCTGCCCTGGCTATGAGATCATAGGCCTCCGCGAAATCCACGGTGGTTAGGACGGACACACGCGACCTAAGGTCAGGTCGAAGTTTCTTCCTGAATTCCTCGATGCGATCGGTTGGGGTACTCACCAAGGTTGGTGCAAACTTAGCAAGACTAGTAAACTTCTGACGATACTCGGGGAGTGTCATGTCTCCCTGTTGCAATTCGACAAATTCTTTACGTCTTTCTTCGCTAAAACGTTTTGGAATATATTCTTGCTTGAATGCCCATTCGAAATGTGCCCATGTCCATGGCTTAGGGGTTCCTACACTCTCATCGGTCCTCTTCCACCACTCGTAGGCTTCTTTGCGAAGCAGCTGAGATGCCAGTCGGGGATAGTTGCCAATGGGTACATTAAGATCCTCCAACACTCGAGCAGTCTGCTCGATCCAGTCCCA